TAGGCGGTCTTGAGGTTGTATATCTGATCTATGATACTTCCGTCGATATGAAGATAATTATAGATCATCTGCCACCAGTCTATGACGTCTAGGTCAATCCTGTACAATTTAAAATAAAAATCGATAGATAAGAAAGTTAGAGTTTTAATCTCATATCACAGAAAGATAATTATCTTAATTATATATAATCTGAATCAATTATACAATTAAGTTTAAGTTTACATTACTTTCCTTTTGACTTTCAGCACTGGGGGATATTGGGCTGCTAAGATGTCCTCTCATTAGTTTCAGTGGACTTACAAGTGCAGTAACAGTACTTTCAGAGTCCTATAAAATTTCAAACCCAGAATAGATACTGCACTGAAGAGAGGATAATTTAAAATAACATATGAAGACTATCCCAGTATACCTTATCACTTTCAATTGTAGAAGTAGTTCTTGTGGATGATAAATCTGGTGACTTACTAGGTGGGAGACTTCTTATTTTAATTCGATTTACAGTTGCACTAAAAATTTCCTTAGAATCCTGAAATATAGTGAAATCAACATATTTAATGAAAAGTCAGGTGTTTACAAGTTTACAGTTATGAAATACATATATTATTACCTGGTCAAAGCAATGATCAATTTTAAGTGGCTGCAAGAATAAGATATTGTTTCTTAAGTTTATTTCCTATGCACTAGTACCAAAACCCTCCACAGAACTAAGCAATGCTCATGTAAACAGCTCAATCAAAATAATTCCAGAATCACACAGCTAGATACATAACACAAATATTTCACAAAAGCAAATTGTATGCAACATGTCGCCCTACAAAATTTAGTAATTTACAGAAGCACCCACCTTTGCTAGTTCTTCATCATCTGGTGTGCATTGTTCACGGATTTTACTTTTTGGTGCAGGAAGTGTTACCTGTTTACCAAACAGTTTCCTGGGATACTTTTTTTGAGGACTGCACCCAGTACTCTTGAAGCAGAACTTCTTCTGGAATGGGCTTCTCCGGGTTGGGGTGTTTGGGGCAGTCCTCTTTGAGTATGCGGGCTGCAATTAAAATCAAATTATTGAATGCACATCATGAATCATTATTTCAATTATTAAAAGAAAGATGACAGATCTTTACCTGTGTACTTTCAACAAGTTGGTAAAATGCTACATACATCCCTTCCATCACTTCCCCAGACTCCAAACCACCGTAATTATCTGTGACCTGCTCACACATTACAGTGATTTACAATAAAGATGATTGAGAGTTTCTGCAATCCTAATGAGTTATTAATTTAGAGAACACTCACTTCAGCATCATTGAAGAGAGTACACTTTCCACCATGACAAAGTGTCACACACTTGTAGTGGCCACCGTCTGCTGAATTGCCAAGATGAATGATTCCACTGATAAATTTGTACATGGCATTTTTTACATTTAGCAGAATGTCAACACTAATCCTATCATTAATTTTCTTTCCATCTTTGTTAAACCTAAGGTGAACATAAAACATGATAAATAAATGTTGGGCTGACTTACACATTAAAAGAAACATAAACTATATTGTTCCTACCTTTGTAAAGCAATTCTTAACACTTTTGGTAGTGTGACAATTTCTTCAGATCTTGTGCATGAGGAATTTACACAACCATTACCACATTTATAATCATCTACCTTTACAGCAACAGAAAAATATTTCTGTACAGCCTCTTGGATACTTCTCTCACGACAGGACACAAACAGAAATGATTGTGGTTGATAAGTTACAGAATTGTAATCACATTTTGTGCATTCATCTGTAACCAGAGAAACAAAGTTTTGGTTAGGACGTCAGTTATTGTGTTAAGTCATAGGACAGATTGACACATAAAAAAATGGTAAATGTTAATGGAAGAACACTGCAGCTATTGACACATTCACATTACACATTGAGTTTAAAAAGGTCAATCCTTCAGTGCTTTGGTCTTACATCTAGCTTTGCTCCAGAAACCAAATATTTGACCCACAGCTGTAGTTTGTTTGGAATAAAAATCAAGTCTGTGAAGAAAGAAGATGATATAATCAGTGCAGTATCAAGTTGATCAAGTTGCATTTGTGGCTATCAAAATAAACTTACTCATCAGCAAATTTCTTCCCATGCCTGAGAAGCAATTCATTTTCTAGGTAACCATGGAGCAAGCTAATAAATTCATGAACATCTTGTTCTTTACCTGACATCATGGTTCCCAAAGTAATGGCTGTAAAGTAGTAAACCAACAATACAAACTTCCAAACCTAATGTACAAAATGAGAACTGAATGGAGTCAAAACGGAAATGACTGGATTACATACTAGAGAGAAGACTCTTCATAACGAGTGGTTTGGCTGGAAGATTCTGTCGCATACTGCATAGAGTCCGATAAAGTTGGCAGGTGACACAAAGGAAGAGTGAGCGACAGGAACGCCTATGCTCTTCATCTCGTTCTAAGAACTCAACAAAACTCGAGGTATGGAACAAAGCCTTGAATATAAATTAAAGTTAGTAGAAAATTAAAAAAATTGGCACAAGCTTTTGAATAATCAACAAATACTAATACCTGAAGTGCGCTGTTAAGGAAACATGTATTTCCTAAATTTGTGAGGCCACAATGAACATGTGTCGTGTTCCCCCAGGACAAGGAAATACTCTTCGTATAGATTATTTTCATGGGACATGGTGGTTGAGTATTGTTCCAAACCTGCCACAAGTATAAAAGTTTAAAAATAGTGGAATAAAATGAGGCTTAAACAAAGAGAGCAATATCAATACTTACCATAGTTGTGGAAGTGCTCGAAGCACTGGACGACAAGCCAAAGAAGTGGCCTGCAATATAAAATTATTGTCACCCACGAAAATAAAAAGTGTTAAAGGAATGTTTTACTTAAGAACAGTTCAAAACTGGAGAATGGCTTGAGGTTATGGTTCACCTCTTTACACCTTTACATCGTATTTCCGACGAGGATTAACAAAATCATGACATTTCCTAATTTCTATAATGTTATTTTACCATGGATCACATTTTCATAAAATGTCAGTACTATTTACTGCATTAATACCTTGCACGAAATTGTCTGAGCGCCGGCTACTTGTATTTTTTATCTCGATCTCGCGCGCGATCGTCATCTGTCCGGTGGGCGGAGCAGGAGCGGAGGGGAGCGAGCTGCTGGGTGGTGGGGGTAGCGCTGGGCGGCCGGGTGGGGGAGCGGCCGCCCGGCCGCGGCCCGTCGGGCGGAGTGGGGGAGCGCCTCCGCTCATTTCCACCGTCCGGTTTTGTTCTTCTTACTTCCGCTCCGCGCTCCATTGGAATACCCTATACAGCGAGTAGGGGTAGGTGGGGACCATTGGGACGGATTTTTTGTTTTTGCTCTAGATTGGAAACCGCCCACACGGAAAATAGACATCTATAGATGATGGTAGATGGTCTACCGTTCGTCTATTCGGTCTAGAGACAACTATAGACATCTATAGACATCAATAGAGCATCTAAAATACGTACAAATTGTCTATATCTACTGATAGATATACCGTAGACATCGATAGGCGGTCTTGAGGTTGTATATCTGATCTATGATACTTC